TTGCCCCAGCCCTGATGAATTGGGAATTCCAGCAATGGTGACCTGGGAGGTGACATCTGAGAGGTGACACCTGGGAGGTGGCACAGCCCAGGTCCCACCCTGGCTCCAGGCTGGACCCTGCAGGATCCCAGCCCCTGCTGCGATGAGAGGAGCTCAGGAGGAACGAGGTGTCTCTGATTCTGCATCTTCACTCCTGCCCTCTTTATCAAAGTCGGTGTTTTTCTGACTAAAAGGCACTTGGATTTAAAAAGAAAAAAATTACAGGCTGCGAGGCAGGGGATTAACCCTGTCCCAGCCGCAGCAGGACGCGGAGTGTTTACATTTGGAGTTGCTGCCTGCAGTCAAATCAAACGCCTTTTGTGGGGATGATCGGTGTGATCACAGCCCCTGCACCAAGATCTCACTTTTAACCTGCAAACCTTCCTTTTCCTGCCTCCTCTCCCACGGGAATACAGGAAAATTAAAATAAAAAAGGAAAGGAAAAAAAAGAAGAACAGTTTAGAATTTGCCCAAGCCAAACACACAGGTCAGGTGGATTAGAGCAAGCTCAGGTTGGCAAATCCCACAGGGGAGCAGATGTTTTGTTTGGCGTCCCTTCCCGAAAATCCCACGCCATGAACATTCCATAATCCAGGGCAGACGGAGCGAGCCGGGCAGGGGACGGACGGTGGGCAAAGGCAATGCTGTGTCTTTAATTTTCTTTTCCGAGAGGGAAGCGAAGTCTGCAGAGCCATGACAGCCTCACTTGTTCAGCCTTTAATGCGCGCTGGGTTTTCTCCAGTGGAGGGCACTCGGCGCTCCGCAAACTCCATCCCCGGCACCCGCCAGCTCCGGAGCATCATCGCTCTCTGGAAAGCCTCGGAATTAGACGAGAGCTGCCTCTCAGCACAGCCACAAAACACTTTAAACCCGAGCAGCTGAATGGAATAAACCGAGCCTGCGGGGCTGCCGAGCCGGGCTCGGGCACAGCGCGGGAGGCCCTGCGGAGGATGGATCGCGGTGCCCGGCCATGGCAAGAGGCAGCAGCGGCACAATGAGGGATGCCAGGCACCGCCAGAGCATCGCTCCTTCCTCCCGCAGAAGTTGGTTCGTCTCCATCGCCTGCTCCGGCTTTTCTTTCGAAAAAATCGCCACTTAACGCCGCCGCTCCTCTGATGACTTCCACAATGGCTCTCAGAGCTTAGAGTCCCTCCCTACCCCCCCACACTCCCCCCATCCTTCGTCCTGTCTTCCCCACCCCCAACCCCTTCCCTTCTCCTTTTCCCTTCCCCTCGTCCCCCAAAAAATTCCGGCTGCTCCTCTCCGGGGAACTTTGTGGGGTTCCTGGCGGGCAGGGCTGGATGGCGGCGGGGCGAGCGGCAGCGACGTGAGGATGCTGATGGTTTAAAGAGGGAGAGAAGGAGGCTGAGGGGATAAACCCGAAAAAATTTTGAAAAGGGGGAAGAGAGAGGAGAAAACATCTGGAGGAAGGCGAAGGAGGACGTTATTGATGACAAAAGGATGGGTGAGTGAACTTTTTGTGGTTTGCTGGCTGGCACAGCTGCAGCTGTGGGGTGGATTTTGCAGCTGGATTATTCGGTGGTGGTGGCGGCGGGGAGGGGGGGCAGCAGCCAGCGGCGCATTCCGCTGTGCCAGGTGACTCACGGCACTGAAAAATCGCCTTTTTAGCCCTTGTCCCCCCCTCCGGGCACGCAAACACACAGACACACACACACACCTTTCCTCCCGCAGTGGCACCCACGGGCGGCTTCCTCAAATCCCACCCCCGCACCTGCAGGGCACCTTTGGGGTCCCGACCCCCCCCCCAAAAATCCCTGCCGGCTTCACCCCCCGACACCGTTCGGGCTGGGTTTAGCACTTTGCAGGATGTGGGAAGCGAAGGGGAGCTGTTTGCATAGGTGGGTTTTGAAGAGGCTGAAAAGATGCCCCTGGTACCTCTGCTACATCTCCAGCAGTCATTTGGCAGTCGGGGTTTTTTTGGAGTGTGACAGGTTTATTCCCCTCCTTCCTTCCTTCCTTCCCCTCATCCCCAGCCCCCGAGTCTGTAACAGCCAGAACATATTTCTTTCTAGCTGGCTGCTGCGGGCAAAAAGAAGGAGCCAAAAAAAAAAAAAAAAAAGAGAATTTAAATTACAAATCTACCCATTAAACTGTAAGGCATTCTAGATCAGGAATTGTTTTTGCAGGTTTAAAATTGGATTAAAGACCTGCAGCACCGGGTTGGTTCTGTCTCTCTGTGTGTGTGACAAATAATAAAGTGATTATTTATCAAGGAGATATGAGCCTTTGAAATATTTCCTGTTGGAAGAATGCATTTTCATTCTCAGCAAGGCTGCAACTCTGGGAGGCAGCAGCCCTAAAATTATTCCAGGCGTGCAGATGGGTGTTGGGGGTTCTGACACCCCCTCCACGCCCTCTCATAATTATTCAGGATTCCATAGATTCAATTATTACATATGTCCTCACATCCAGGGCTGCTGCTGCTGCATGACAAACATGACATCTTAAAGGCAAACCCTTAAATTCAGTCAGGAGAGGGGAATTGAAAGAGAAATAAAAATCCTCCTTTAAACTTTCTGGGTTTGCTGCTCTCTGGAAGTGCTGGGGTGGGTATTTTCATCATCTGCTGGATTAATTCAAATTAATAACTGTTTAGGTATTCACCTAATGAATTAAATGAAGTTTAATGGGTTAAGGTTCATTTGAAAGGAATATGTCTCCTACCTTTACCTGGCATTGGGGTCCGGTGCCAGCATTCCTGGTGCACTTCTCTGCATGGACAAACTTTGTTTCTCTGCATCTATTTCTGCATTTTAGGTACATAAAACTCACGAGTTTTACTTAAACCTACTCCTAAACCTGAAATACTCAGTACAAAAAGTAAAACCTTTACTTAGTGCCTCGTTTTACAATAAATACAGGTTACAAAGGTGGATCAAAGTTCAGGAGAAGCAGATTTCCCTGTTCCTGAGGTAATTTTGGGGGGATTGGATTTGCAGTTGCTTTCCTTGAGGAGCACGTAGGAGCAGGAGCTCTGGCTCATTTCCTCTCCAGCACTCTGGAGCATCCAGCACAGTGACTTGACAAATATGTTTATTGTTCAGAGCTCAGCACAGAGCACTGAGGACACCCCAGCTCCTGGGAGAGCTGGAGGGCAGGAGCACAGAGGGGAGGAACCGGCTCCTGGAGAACCCTCAGGGTCATCATGGTGCTTCTCTTCCATTTCCCCACCTCAGCTGGGTCCTGAATGTGTTAATGGGGAAAATCCCAGGCTATGGGGTCAGAGAATCCTTCAGGATTTGGCCCATATCCTCCCATTTCCCACCCAACTCAGGATTTTCCATGCCTGGGTCTACTCCTGGCTCAGGGGTCTGGAAATCTCAGCCCTCATTCTGGAGAAGCTGCAGGCTGTACAGAGGAATTTTACCAGATTGAATAGCAGAAAGATGCTCTCTTTAACATTCAGGGGAAGCTGAACATTCTCCAACAGGGAGGCAACAGATCCAGAGGAAAAGAAGGAAAGAAAAGGCTGGAAATCTCATCCCCTGCTCCTCCTCTAAAAAATTGGGTGCATAAAAAACAACCAGGGGAGTCTGGTGGTGATGGGGGCCACCAGATGAGAGGTGGCCAGGCAGGCACTCCAAGGATGGAGATTTGCACCACCAAGAGCTGAGGCAGGAGGCAAACACGTTTGTGTCTCCCAAATCCCCAAATCCCAGCTGGGCTCAGGTTGTCCCCAGTGACGTGGTCATCTGGTCATTTATGACGTGGTCATCTGGTCATTTATCTGCAAGGCTTTCCAATGACACGGTGATCTGGTCATTTATCTGCAAGGCTTTCCAGCAGTGTGGTGATCTGGT